TGTGGCCTGTGACTTGTCTACCATGAATTACGATGGTGGATCTATGTCCCGATCCCCGCAGCTTGACGGGTCGAACTATCCCTATTGGAAATCGATGATAACCATCTTTTTGCGTTCACTGAGAAAAGGCGCGTGGGTAATTATTGAGAATAGGTGGAAACATCCGATGATGAAGAGAGCTCCGGAGAAAGGCGATGCCGATGGAACGTCCGATAAAGTGCTCAAACCACGCGACATATGGGCTGCCATGGAAAGAATGCAAGAGGAGCATAACTTTCGAGCCATGTATGCCATTCTAATGGCGGTTGATCAGACTCGACACAAGATGATCTTCCAATGCACCACGGCAAAGGATGCATGGCGTGTTTTGGAACGTCAGTTCGAAGGGTCGAATGCGGTAAAATCCTCCAAGCTTCAACATATAACTTTGGCCTTTGATGACATAAGGATGAAGAAGGATGAAACCATCGACATGTACTACTCGAGGTTTTATGACCTCGTGAATCAAAGTGCAATGTTGGGTGAAGATATCTCAGAAACTCGACAAGTTCAAAAGATCATGAGGACACTCCCGGCTCGTTTTCGTGAAAAAATCACTGCACTTGAAAGTTTCCAACGAGTCAAGCCTCTAGATCTTGATGACCTTCTTGGTGAGCTTCGAACATTCGAGATCAACAATGATTATGACAAGGTGAAGAATAAGGAATTGGCCTTGAAAGCCGCTGCTCCATAAAAGTGCGGACAATGATGGGGATGAAGATTCATTGGAAGAGGATGCTGAATTTAATGAGGCATGCGTCAGAAGCTGTACAAAAACAAATTTAAAGGGAAAAAACTGACGAATTTCAGCAAGGCTCCATCGCATGAGAAGCGAACCAACATCCCTGCTTCCATGATGGAGAACCAAAAAGTCGAGAAGGACCAATGCAGAGAATGCAAAGGCTTTGGTCACTTTCAGTTCGAGTGTGCTAACCTGAAGAAGAAGAAGAAGAAGAACAAATCCCTGAAGACGACTTGGGATGACTCAGATGAACAGCAGACGGATGAACCAACATCGCTTACTAGCAACATGGTCGTCTGCCCACTCAATGATTTTTTCTGCCTGACCTCTACATATAGACCTTCTGGCTCTGAATCTGGTAAGAACTGTCATTATTCTGATAATTATGATTCTGATGGATCTAATGGTTCTGCAGATCCAAGCACGTGCAATGATCCCGTACATCTCTTGGCAATGGAAAAATGCATACAACCTGCAAAAGTGATGAAAAAATTGTGTGCTCAAATTAAGTCTCTCAAGATGAACGTACATCAGGTTGACACAGACAAAAGATGTTAAATACCTGAAGAAGGAGCTCCAGAACATGAGAGAGATCAATGGCAAACTCAATGACCAATTGACCTCATCTTTCACGTATGAGAAGGAGGTTGAACTTCAGTCCGCACTTGCACGAACTGTCATCCTGGAGAACGGACTGAAATCATTCAAGCAGGCAAGTTCATAAAAGGATCAGGTCATTGAATCTTTGAGAACTGAATTTTTTTCGTTGCAGAAAATTGCAGGTGATAAAGATAAGGAGGCTGGAACTCTCAAAGGTGAACTCTCTCGGGTAATAAACGAACATGTGAACCTAAGGGATCACTTAGCCCAATGCAACCAGAATTTGAAGGAAAAATCAGCTGAGCTTGAACGTACATCTCAGATTCTGAACAAAATAAACAAAGGTAGGGCTGATGTTGACAAGCTCTTGTATATGCATAAGAGCCACATCAGTCGACAAGGGTTGGGCTATACCGAACAAAAAGGTCAGAATAAGCTATCGAACAACAAAGGTAAACAGGTTCAGAATTTGTATGCTAAGTTTGTTCCCAACTCATCAAATAAGAAAATTCTCCCTGACATGAACCAACATCCAAAGGTATATGTGAAAAATTTTATTCATGTGTGTCATTATTGTAGAATCACTGGTCACATACGTCCTAGATGTTATAGGATGCAACATGATTTAAATGTATGAAAGCTGAGTCAATGGAATCAGTTAGGTATACCCATGAAGGTTCCTAAATTGAAAGTGGCTAAATTGTAAAATATAGTCAGTATCTTGTACGCGGTGGCAATAATAGCCATCATCTTTACGATTGACAATATTAGCCAACAACTTTCAAAATTTCAATATTATTACCCAAATCCAACCAAATTCGACAGATAAATTGCAAAATATAGTTAGTATCTTTTTACGCAATGGCAACAATAGCCATCGAATTTGGTCGGATATGGGTAATAACCTCAAAATTTTAAAAGTTGTTGGCTAATATTGTCAATTCGTAATAATGGTGGCTAATATTGCCACTGCGTACAAGATACTCGCTATATTTTGCAATAAAACCATTGAAAGTTGATCTTAAAAACCATATGCAACAAAAGATTTGGGTCATAAAGGATGAACATAAGTGTTTTGTATCTTTGTTGTCTTTGAAAAACTCATTGGAAGGTGTTGGAAAATTGAATGAAAATTGTAACTGAAGAATTGGTTTTGAAACCGTGTCTTCCACTTTACTTTAAAAAACTTGTAACTTAGTGTTACTAAAAATGTAACTTGGTTTTATAAATGTTACATTTAACTTAACTTTATCAAGTTTGTAATAAATGGTTTAATTAATGAAGTGACTTGTCTTATAACTATATAAGACTTGTCTTATTGTGAAGAAAAGAAGACACGAAACCAAGGAAAGAAAGTACATATTCTCAAAGGTTTATTTCCCATTTTTCATGTTATAGTGTTTTGGTCCAG